ATTCTTCCCTCCTCCCCTCAGTGCATCCAGAAAGCTGGCAGCGGCGCCCGGTGGGGGGGTGGGGGCACTGTAGGAGAGTGGAGGTCCTAGTGATGGGGTGGGAAAGAAAGAATCCAGAAAATACAGGGAGAGAAAGTGACTGGGTAAATAAAATAAGGCGTGTGTGGGGAGGAGAGCCGTCAGGACACCTTAGGTTCCTGGGTATCCCAGCTGGCTTCCCAAGGGTTAACCCCAACAGACCCCCGGGAACCCCCATAGTGACGTAAAGGGCGGGGTCTGTGCCGCCAGGCGGGGATGCCGCCGAGATAAGGGGGGAGGGGGTCTGGACCCCGCCCCCCTAGGGAAAACCACCCTAACTCCGGTCCTCACAACTCGCGGGGAAATCGCCCTGCCTTCTACCCGACCGTAAAGACCTATATCGTATGAAGACCCCAGTTCTCCAGCCCCCTAAAACCTTCATTTCTCAGTCTCTATGGGATCCCCTTTCCCTAATCCTGTCCCCAAAGCTAGCTGCCCAGGGCAGATTGTTTCGGGGTCACAGGGCCTGAAAGAGGCTTCAGAGCGGGGAGCAAGGGCAGGCAGGGTGGTCTGAGCCAGAGGAGGGGCCTCGGTCCCCAGCTCCCGTTTGGGAGGAGGGCCAACAGGGATGCACCGGCAGGCGGTGGCCAGGGTCCCGCCCAGTCACAGTAGGGGTCTCCCTGCCGCTGGCCCCAGCTGTCCCGGTGGTCCTGAGGTCAGAGGGTCAAGACAAGGGTTCCTGGGCTCCTCCTTAACACCCTGCCCACAACCCTTGGGACTCAGAAGTCCATAGTCCTTGGGGAGTCTTTCTAGGGCCTAAACTAGACACTGGCCCCTCCAGCCCCCTTCCCTGTCCAGAAGACACTCCTTTTCCCAAAACACAAGCACCAGCAAACACATCTGTCACAAGACAGGTCAGGGGGTCTAGCGCAGCCACCCTCCAGAGGTTTTGTCACCTCATACACCCCCACCCCCACCCACCTAGGGTTCTCTCCTTAGCTGTCCCCTCCTTTCAGAAACACTGACGTCTTCCTGCCGGCGCTCAGACACACCTGGAGTTCCCTCTCTACCACGCAGACCTCCAGCTAGCCGTCCCTCCAGCCTCTTCATCCCAACCTCATGAAAGTGAGGTGTTTCTAATGTATGGGAGAGGCGGAGACAGACAAAGAGATCCAAGGTTGCCTGAGACAGACACACAGACTGTCAGAAGAAAAAGATACAGAAAAAGGGAGATACAAATGAAAAAATTCTCCAAACGTTCTAATATCTCACCCCAGGCTCTCCCACCCCCATTTTGCCTCTGTGCCCCAGTTCTCTTGGCTGGACATAGTCTCTCTCAAGTGGAGCATCCCCTCAGGCCCCCTCCCCCACCTCTCCCAGGTGGTCC